TAAAGACTGCAAAGGCTGAAAAATCTTGAAGTCTGGATGAAATTGGAGGTAGTTTGAGGATTAAATTTTTTATGCTTTTTAAGCTCAAAAAAGGGGGGGTGTGTACATGAGATCATATTATACATGAGATTGTATTATACACGAATAAATACGGTAGTTATCGTTTTTTTCTTTTTATTATAGTTTTTATTTATTTCAGTTGACTAAAATGTTTTTTTCAGTTTCAGTTTGTGTTCTTTAGTTAGTTTTAGTGAGCTATAATAACCCTGGTTCACAGCAGCTGTTTGTCTTATTGTTTCTCTGCAGCTTCTCCCGCCCACAGAGAAAGCTCAGCCGAAGAAGAGCGCCCCGGTCCAGGTGCTGGAGTACGGCGAGGCCGTGGCCCGCTTCAACTTCAAAGGGGACACGGTGGTGGAAATGTCTTTCAGAAAGGTGCGGTGATGAAGGTGGAGGAGGTGAAGAACGTAAGGATAGGGCGAGCCCACCTGACGGTGTTGTGTCTGCAGGGCGAGAGGATCACGCTGATCCGCAGGGTGGATGAGAACTGGTACGAAGGGAAAATCTCGGGCACCAACCGGCAGGGCATCTTCCCCGTCACCTACGTGGAGGTGCACAAGCGACCCCGCGTGAAGAACGGCGTGGACTACCCCGACCCCCCGCTCAGCCACTCTCCTCAGCGCAGCACCAACGCCTCCCCTCAGGTGAGGAACGAACCCGACGGATCGTTTATCTTTTTACATTTATTCTGTTTTTGAGTTGTTTTTTCTTCTTCTTCTGTTGCAATAAAAAAAAAGCTCTATCGTAACCGCCTCACCACCTCCCCCCTGCCCCTCCCTCGCTCCTCCCGACGCTCCGTGTCGCCGGAGGTGCACGCCGTCTCCTCTGAGTGGATCTCCCTGACGGTGGGGGGTGGGAGCCCCCCGGCTGCCCCCACCCCTCCTCTGCCGCCCCCGCCCACCGTGTTCTACCGCTGGGGCGAGTACCTGCCGCCGCCGTGCTCGGCCAGCCCCGTGCCCCACGTGGCCGGCAGCCCGTACTGTGTCTCCCCCGTGGGCTCGCCGGCCACCTCCCCCCTGCCCCCGCCGTACCCGCCCAGACCTGGCTCGGCCACGCCCTTCCTCACCTTCACCCCGCCCCAGGGCGAGAGCTTCCTGGCCTCCTCCTCCTCGCCGTACCTGTCGCGCAGCATKAGCCCCTGCGGCGGGTCGGTGCTGGAGGGCTGGCTGAGGGGGGAGAAGGAGCTGACGGAGGGGGACGGCTTTGCCCCGGGCAACAGGAGAAATAGCCCTGCAGAGGTATCTTCTGCATGGTGTGCGGTGTTTTATCTGCGGCTCGGTTTGGTTCTGTTGGGTTGATGTTCTGCAGCACCTGAGTGGAACTTGACGTGAGAAACTAACACGCCCGAGCGTCCACACCTGAGCGCTCACACCACTTTCAGCTGCATGTTGTTTGTGTGCACCGCTAACGTTCAGCCACGGTGTGTTGATGTGGTGTGTTTGAGACCCTTAAGATGGCCGCCGCAGCTAGTTAGCATTAGCAATAATAGCTATAACACAGTTAATTTTACAGATATTGAGCTAATGTTTGATATGATAGCTGACAGCATTAAATGATATCATCTACAAGTTGTAACAACAAAACAATTCTTTTTATAAGATAATCTGATTTTTACACTTTGCTATAAAAGGCAGCATTCCTTCATGGAAAACTAAACCTTTAATTTGAAAAGTTCTTTTAAGAAGTTGACATAAATAAAGTGGAGTTTTATTTTTAAAGTTTGCAGCTAAATTTAACAGCGACTTCAGTTTTTTTAGAAATCGTTTAAGACCGACTAGACTGACAAGCYAACAGCTAGTTAGCTTAAGGTTAAAAGTGGATTACTGCCATCTTAAATCAGCTCCGATCCTAATTTTTTTAACAATTCAAAGCGAGTGAAAAACTGTGTCAAATTAACTTCAATATATAAATATTTTCACCACTATTTGCTGTACGTTTTGGATTATTTCAGCAGAAATATTATGAAATTCCTGTATGTAGCGCTTCAGCTAGCTGCTAATACGTTTTATGCCATTTAAATAATAATAATAATTAATTATTAAGGACTGATTAACTGGCAGAAGTGTAAATAATTTTCACATGAACTGCTATTACATATTTGGGGATAGGAGTTGTTTTAAGATGGCATCAATGCACCTTTATTTTAGCTACTTTAGCACTAGCTGCCAGTTTGTAGATTCTGTTTTGGGTTTAAACTTTGTTTTTCAAACTTTTCACCGAGTCAGTTTTACAGGTAAGTTATTAGACTTGTATAACTTTTCCACAGAATCACATTTAGATATATTCATAATATTTCTTCACAGCCAACAAATGCTAGCATAATTTTCTTTTTGTTTTTAATCAGGCCTGCTATGGGCAGCTATTTTTATGAGATCATTCTCTTCTAATTGTTATAAATGTTTAGATACTGTCAGACTTTATTTGTATTTTTAGTTTAGTTTAGTTTTTTTTTTTCATACAAGAACTGATGCAGGTTTGAAATGTCCACACCCAGGATAATTCTGCCTCAGCGGTTTCAAACTACGCCAACACTCGAGTCAAAAAGATTTGACGTTAAAACATGTGTGTGTATGTGTGTGTGTGTGTGTGTGCTGATGTGTGTGTGTTGATGTGTGTGTTACAGTTTGTGAGGAACGAGGCTGACCATCACAGCCGGAGCTCCAGGAGCCCTGTCATACCTTTAGACGTCCAGGATAACAACAACGCTAACTCGTTCGCGGTAAGAAGGCTAAAACCTTTATTGTATAAATGACATCATCATCATCATCATCATCATCATCATCATCATCATTTTAACACATTGTGCTCAAATATTCATCGTTTTAATTCCAACATGTCTTCAGTTGTTTGATACGACTAAACTTTTATATAAAGTTTGACTTTTCAGTAAACTCAAGTTTGCTTTCTTTCTGAGACCACAGTCCAAAGTCCAGGTCTAAGACCCAAACCATTGGAGACTACAGTCCAAAGTCCAGGTCTAAGACCCAAACCATTGGAGACTACAGTCCAAAAGTCCAGGTCTAAGACCCAAACCATTGGAGACTACAGTTTTAGAACAATAACTAAAAGTAGTGGTGGTGGCTAATTGTAGCAGAAAGATAGCTAAAAGCTAACAGTCTTCTGAATGAGCCGAAAGTTAGAACAGCACAAAGTCGGCAGAAAATAATTTGGAACAATGAAAAAAAAAAGCTCATTGTGAACGCTGACTCAGCAGAAAGCTCAGAAAGAAGGTGAATTAAGTTTTATCTCCGACTCAGAGCTGTTTCCTGTTCAAACTGCTCACTCGCTCTGACTTCCTGTGATGATAAACTAACGAGTCATGTCTGAAACTAACGAGTCATGTTTCCTGTCTTCACGCTTCCTCTGCGGCCTCCATCATCATCTCTCCTCTTTCTGCCGTTACTTCATGTCGGACCCGCCTCCCCTTCCTCACCTGCCTCCCTCCCCACCTTTTCTAACCCCTCCCCCCGCTCCCCACCCCCTCACCTGGGTGACTGCTGCCACCTGTAGGAGGCGGTGTGTAATGAGATCTTGAATATTGCGGACACCTCAGTGAGATACTGCAGCACCTTGTCCCCCCACCTGAATGACTCAGTCCACAGGCTCCGTCCCCACCCCAGTAAACAATCTCTCATCATTTCCCAGCAACCCCAGTCCCACAGCAGCAGTCCAGAACCGACCCGCCTCAGCTGTGGAATGTGAGTTTACAYGCCTCGTTTATTCCTTCAGAGCTTTTATCTTTTATTTCATTTGTTCAGGAGGAATGTTTGTTTGAAAACTTGGATTTTAAATAAGTTTTATTTATTTATTGTTGATTTTCTCTGATTCACATAAAGTTAAAACATTCAAACATTTACCTGAACCTGTTCTCAGGTGTTAGAAGGTCTGAAACCAGATAAGAACTGTCCCACTTCTGATGGACAGAACCAGATAAGAATTGTCCCCTTCTGATGGACAAAACCAGACAAGAACTGTCCCACTTCTGATGGACAAAACCAGATAAGAATTGTCCCCTTTTGATGGACAGAACCAGATAAGAATTGTCCTCTTTTGATGGACAGAACCAGATAAGAATTGTCCCACTTCTGATGGACAAAACCAGATAAGAACTGTCCTCTTTCTGATGGACAGAACCAGATAAGAACTGTCCTCTTTCTGATGGACAGAACCAGGTAAGAACTGTCTCAATTCTGATGGACAAAACCAGATAAGAACTGTCCTCTTTCTGATGGACAGAACCAGATAAGAACTGTCCTCTTTCTGATGGACAAA